CGACAAGACCAGACCAGGCCAGAAACAAGTTAGGATTGTCTTCAGATGTTTCCAGAAACCCCAGGGTATTAAGTGGCACAACACCCTGAAATCTCAGGGCTTGCACAATAGAATATAATGAAAGTGTAGGGCATACACATCAGTTACCCTAAAATATCAAGAATCAGCAACACCTACCAATACAAAAAAATCAACGGTTTTAAAGGGGTATACCTTAACATATGAGGGCATGGTTGGTGTGATCATTCAAAGCTAGAAGCCAGGACATTTTGATCGTGAAGTAAAAGGACTGGAAGGTAAATACCATGAAGAATATGCCATTTCTTGGAGGAGGTAGGTATGTTTTTTACACTAGACTAGACGTCCCACTATGATCACAAGTTCCATACATTATTGTACTTCATAAATCATGAGACAAACAAAGGAAGGTAGACACATAGTGTCATTTTTTTAATTCTCTAAATGCTACTACTTCGGAGGTGAACACAATGAGTAGAACAGAACTTGGTTGCACACCAGAGATGGCAAAAAAAAGTACAGCCCTCAAAGGACCTGTGCCAGCCGAGAATTGAACCCAGGTCTGCGCTAGGCAAATGGCAGGGTGCTATTCTACCGCCATAATGCTATTCTACCTCTGAATTAAAAACATTGTTAATGAACAATAAATACAACGGAAATCCAGAGAGTAGTCTAAGGAAAGATGTGCAAGCTAGACCTATAGTGAGGCCCACAGAGAGGCCACTGTTACGTCTCAGTGGTCCTCTCCCAAGTAAGCAAAGTCAGCCGCTGATAGAGAACTCACCTCGGGTGGAGTGTGGTTTACGCCGTCGATAAAACGAATTTGTGCACGTCGACAAACAGTCCGAGCCTGCTCACGCTGGTGGACCAGAGAAATACGCTTGTAGAAGTTAGTCTCAAACAGTTGGGGAAGGGAATCTATGGCACTGCTCAAGTCGCGAAGTTGTGACGCCCCTTTACGGCTCCATTGGCGAAGGAAGTTGGTGAAAGAAGAGCCGAAGCAACCGAAAGTTTCGATGACGAGGGGAAAGAGTTTGACGTCTGGATGGTCACGAAGTGCTGCAGCATAGTGGGTAGTCTTCTCACTTTCACGAGTGGCTGCTGCTGAACCGATTACCGTAGCTGCGTTGGAGTGCGGAAATTCCTTTTGAAGATCGGCAACAGAAACATCCAAGGCCTAGGTGGTAGCAGAGCTGACGTCGCGGCACGTGATGTCTGTTCGCGGCCAGGCAGGAGATGTTGGTCTTCCATTTGCGCAGAGAACCCAAGCTCCAAGGCAATGCGATAAACTTCTCGTTTAATTGTGTCGTGCACCTTAGTAGGCTCGTTGTTACTAGGGCAGCGAACGACATGAGAAGGGATCGAAGGATCGGTGAACGGGGAGCTGCAAGTGCAGGTGTGGGAAGATGAAAGGTGAGGGAAGATGAAAGGTGAGGGAGAGGAAGGCCTAAGCGGATAGCTGCTGCAATGCGCCACTCAGTCTCTGGCAGCTGCATGTGCGGGGAGTATGGAGCACAGTGAGCCAGTCACTTGCATGCGAGCCCTGCAAAGAGGTTAAGCGAGCAAGGCGAGGCGTGGACGTTACTGTGGCTCGAACCTTCTCCAGCAGATCGGCTTTGAGGTGTTGGGAGAGGTGAGTGAAGAGTTTAGGTTGGTAGCCCGATAGAAGCACAGGCCACGATGGGAAGCGATCGCGAATGTCTTGGGGAAGCATGGTCATGGTAGATGAGATTGAAGGGTCGAAGTGGTTAATGGAGTCTGTGGTAATGTAGGGGCGGAAAAAAGGAGCACCATCGGTGATGAAGTGGGTGGATAAGGTCGAAATTGTCTGCCCTCAGCTGCAAAGGTAACTAAGGGGGGCGATGGATGCAGAGCTGCGAATGCTGAAGCCACCCAAGCGGATAGGGAACGAGGCTTGGAGTCGGGCCGATGTGGAATGTTCAGAGTCGGGATTCCAGTATTCAGGGCCCAGGAGCTGAGAGAAGTGGTTGAAAATGGTGTTGTCCCACGAGGAGAGTAGTTCTTGGATTTCAGGAAAAGGTGCGAAAGTTCGGAGGAGGAAAAAAGGTCGGGCAGTGATGCATAAGGACAGGATCCGTGAGGCAATCTGTGGGTCTTGCAGTTGATGCAGTAAGGGGAGGGAGGAAGTGAAAGAATAGAGTTTGTCACGAACTGTGGAAATGATGAAACCTTCTGAGCCGGTAGGCACGCCAGCGATAGTGAGGCCGTTTGCAACGATGGAAATACCCGGGGCGGAATGCAGTGTCAAGGCAAGTCCACAGGGGCCCATAGAGAGGACTTAGAGGTTTGGACAGTAAGGCCGAAAGAGAGAAGGCGGGCGGTAAGGTCAGTATATGCGGTAAACACGTCTGAGGGAGGGCCGACCTGTCAGAAGTCTAGGCAGGAATGAATGAACTATCAGGAAGGTGGGTACAAATAGAAACCCTAACATTGGGTTGTACCCCACATGGGCTACCCCACTACAGCCTACAGACTACACTACAACATACTATATATATAGTTTGACACACCCCCATAGGCAAAGTGGGGGAGAACAAGGGGTCACAAGACCAGTCAAGAAAAGCAAAGCAAGCTCAGGGTGGATCACAACATCACCACACACACTGAGCACAAGCAAAGGGCCACAAGGCCACACCTAGCAAGAGCAAGCATGCAGGTATATGTATATAGATCACAGTACAAGCAAAGCCTACAGCAAGTGTCAGTTCGGAGGAGGAAAGAAGGTCGAGCAGTGATGCGTAAAAAAAGGATCCGTGAGGCAATCTGTGGGTCCTGCAGTTGTTGCAGTAAAGGGAGGGAGGAAGTGAAAGAGTCGAGTTTGTCACAGACTGTAGAGATGATATAACCGTCTGAGCCAGTACGAATGCCAGCGACAGTGAGACCGTTTGCAGCGATGGAAATGCTAGAGGGCGGAATGCAGTGTTCGGGCAAGTCTATAGGGCTAGACCATTGGCACGCTGGATGGAAAATTGTACAGCTTAAAAATATTATGTCCGTTTTTTCTCTCTGTTTCAGCAGATTATCCGCACTCTATTGCCATTACTTCAGCATCATCTACCGTGGGCCGATGATTCGTGAGAAAACGATCTAATCACTGCCTTCATTACTTTATCCGCTTCAGCAGGTCCTCAATATGATACTCCATTGCTGTTACCGTATTGCTCCGCAATCTACCATGGGTCGTGCACTGGTGGATGGTTGATAGGAAGGCAATCAGGGCCCAAAATTGGTTTAGGCCTACCCTTACAAATCAGGGTTCCAGCCCCTCCTTGAACAGACCCCTAGGGTAAAATTTTCCGTACCCTGTTTGCAGCGGGTAAATCAACCACTAGACTGATTTGAGCAGGGTAGTTTTAGGCTAAGCCTGTTTGGATTACCGTTTTGTGAGCTAAGTTCTTTATAAAAACATAATAACGTAGCACATCCAAAGTCTTTGAACTCTACAGAAGCCACACATTCACTAGACACCTACTCAGTGCCACCCCCACTGCCTACATCTTCTTCTACAAACTGAGTCTGCGAAGCTCTGGTGGGGTCGAACTCCCTGGTGGATCGCCCCAGCTTCTCTCCACGAAAGATAGCGACCACCTCAAACCAGTCGACATCGTACCGCAGCAGGGAGCAACGCATCAGATGCTCAAGGCTTGTGTCGCCAAGGCTGCCACGTCCCCAAGTCTTGATCAGATTCTGCTTCGAAAAGCCACGCTTGCATTCAACCGTGCTCAATGGCAGCACGGCCACTGACTGCCACATCCGCATGATGTTGGGGAAGGAGACACGCCATGCATCATCCCGCAGCATGTTCGTCAGCGCCTGATGGAATTCTTCACCGTTGTTGTGCTGGGCGAACATTGTGGATGTAAACATCCACAGCTCCTGCTGGGCTCTCTTGTAGTCGAACCCTGTGGTGGGGCGGGGTTGGGGTGAAAGCTTGGCCGATGCTCGCAGACACGGGTAGGGATGGGGGGCATTAGTCCAACAAGCAACAGTATGCAGTAAGTGCGTTGATCACCCTCATGTCAGACATCGTTGCGACAACACACATCATAACATGTGCAATCGCTGCACAAGGCTTACCTGGCAGCTTGTGGTGGTACAACTTGTGCAGCTGGCCGAGCCACTTCTTGAAGGTTTCTAGTCGCTTCGTGTCGTCGGACACGTACGACGCTGTGCGAAACAGCTTCGAACCTTCCAGCAGCTCCAGGTCGCGCATCCGCCACTCAAGCTCGGCATCGATGGCGCGCACATACTTAATCGACAGCTCGACGCACGCCGTGACATCGCCATCCGTTTCATGTCCTGGCAGCGGGCGCTCGTGCAGCGTGAACTCAAACGTGACGGGATTCCCGTCCCCGTCTACGCCCTCCGCCTTCATCTCGCGCTTATCCTTTGCCCCGTGCCTCTGAATGAACTCGGGAAGCTGCATTTTATCCCCGCTGCCGAAATGGTGTGCAGGGTCGCGGAGGGAATACCGCGACTTCAGACGCATCCTTGTCTGCTGCACGATGTGCGCAACAAGGGTAACGTCCACCTGCACAAGGGCATGACAGCGGGTTAGGTAGTACACGTGCTTGCATGCGACAACGTAGACGACAACAACAAAGGCCCTTACCTGCCGCTGCTGGAAGCGCTGGTTAAGGCAGTTAAGTTCCCAAAGCACATCCGCAACGAAACGGATGAGCCAGTGGAACTTGAACGAGGTAACCACCTCGTACAGATCCGCCTTGTAATCCTTCATCACCACTATGGCCGCAGGGAGCACGTCGAGCAGGAGCTGTATCGCTTCACCACGGGCGAGCCATCTTGTGTCGCTAATCCCCTGCGCCTCGAGGTTCGTCTGGCAGAAGATCTGCTGCATCTCTTGAAACTTCGCGCAGTCCACGCTGCTGCGGCCGATGTGGTCAGCGAAGGCGCGCACGACATCGTCGATCATTAGCAGCTCAGGTACCTCTTCAGCAGCATCACTGGCAGCGAGTGCCTCCCTGTATATAATGGCAACACGACAGATGGTTAGTCAACATCAATACTTGGTAAAACAGTAGCACGGAGCACACAACGGTGATGCTTACCGATGAGCGATACAATGTGTTGAGGCCAGATGCGGAATGCGCATGCGAAGCCGTGTCACGACTTCCTCGTAGAGAGAGACCCCCTCGTAGAGAACGAGAGGGGAGAGCGAGAGACCCTCTCGTAGAGAACGAGCCTCTGGCTGCCTCTCAAGGGCCGTTTCTTCCACGCGGCGGGAAGTGCATGGCCAGCAAGGCAGGACTACTGCTGCAATCTGTTGTTAAGGACAGCTTGAACCTGTCCTTGACAGCAAATTCTGCTGTGTTGGCGGTGGGCGTGGCGACGGGTGGCAAGATTCGAGTATGAGTTGGCAGCCCTGCGGGAGAAACAACAAATGAGGCAACATGGCGCGTTGCCGACAGCGAAGCAAGTTTTTTTGCGCGTGGTCACAAGCGACAATTGGTGTTTGTGGGGGTGTGGTACATTATGTCACCTTGCGGACTGTTGTCTGATTCGCGCTAGGAAAGTTTCGGTAAAAGGGTAGTGTACACCAAACCCTGATTCCGTCAGGCTAACCTAAAAACCAATCAGGGTGAAATAAAACATGCTCTTTCTAGAGAAGGGTAACTATCTCGCATTCCTGATTTTGGCAGGGTAATCCTGAAAAAACGGCCGGCCCCCAGGGTAATCAGGGCGTTTTACCCTGATATTTTGGGCCCTGAAGGCAATCACTCTAATCTAATCACCGCCTTTCTTCATTTATCCGCTTAAGAAGGTCCTCAATACTGCACTCTATTGCCATTACTGCTGAGTCGTCTAACATGGCCCGATCACTGGCAGATGCGGAAACATGGGTGTTCATGGGGAATAAGGTTTGGAAAAGAGGGAAACGGGGCAAGGAGATAATGAATGGGCGAGCCATGAAGTGCATCATCATCTACCATGGCTTGATTGCTGACAGATGAGCACAAAGAGGTAGTTCCACAGGTGGGAGAGAGTGGGAGAGGGGATAGGGGGTGGGGGACGAGGAAAGGAGGCAAAGAGAGGAAGGCAGGATGAACAAGTGGCTATACAGATGGGAGCAGGCATGCACTGTTTGCAGGATGGCGGGACAACGTGAATGACCATGTGCACGACAACTACACAAGGGATGCGATGGCTCACTCACTCATGCCGGCAAAAGGAGGAAGGCAGGATGAACAAGTGGCTATACGGATGGGAACAGGCATGCACTGTTTGCTGCGTTGCTGGACAGCACTTACCATATATGCTAAAAACAAGGGATCCAATGGATCACAAAGATTCCCACAAACTGAGCTCTTCCCACAAACAGAGCTCTTCCCACAAGCAGAGCTCTTACCACAACACAGCTGAGCGCACCTTCTCTTTAAGGCTAAGTGCCAAGCAGGGGAGTCAAGGCCGCACCCGTTGTGCATGGCTGCGCGGTCTAGTGCTGAGCGCACCACATACAGAGCTCTCCCCACCATGTCCCTCGTGTGCACGGGGCCAGGAGTGCGGCTGTCTAGGGCCTCCTGGAGGGAGGAGAGGCAGAGCACCTAACAAGGACTGTTTGTGGGAAGAGGTGGAAGGCCACATACCTGTTGTGGTGGAAGGCCACATACCTGTTGTGAATGGGTTCGTGGTCTAGTGCTGAGCGCACCACGTACAGAGCTCTCCCCACCATGTCCCTCACGTGCACGGGACCAAGAGTGCGGCTGTCTAGAGCCTCCTGGGAGGGAGGAGACAGAGAGGAAAGGAGAGGAGGATACGGCAAGAAAGAGACGAACTTTCAGACAAGAGGCAGAGAAGGAGTAGGAACTCTGGGGTGCTGTTCTTTCAAGTCTCACGTTCTCGGGATCAAGAGTGCGGCTGTCTGTCTGAGGCCTCCTGGAAGGAAGAGGAAATACTTTTGAGACGTCTCAAAAGAGGCCTCCTGGAAGGGAGAGGAAAAAGATGGAGTGAATAAATGGGAAAAGATTTTGGGGAAGAAAAAAGATAGAAAGAGAATGAAGGGGTAAAAATTTTGGGAAAGAGAGAAGGCAGTGAAGGAGTGGGAGGTTAGAGGCTGGTGTCCTATCAAGTCTCACGTGCATGGCACCAAGAATGCGGCTGTCTAGGGCTTCCTGGGAGAGCAGAGAAATAAAAGAACATTGAGAACGAACATTTGAGGAAAATGAACATTGTGTAGGAGAGAATAAGAGACGACATTTTAGTCGGCTCAAAAGGCGAATAGATCGAGGTGAATGAACATTGAGCAAGAGAGAATAAGAGACGGGCGAGGAAATCTGGGCAGAGACGGGGAATAAAAGGCTATTGCCCTCACTTTTAACGGGAGAATAAGAGACGGGCTTTTGGGAATTCTCACATGTGATTTGATTTCAACAAGGCTGGTGCCCTCTAATGCATCACGGGCACAGCCCCAAAGGGTGCGGCTCTTTACAGCCGCCTGGGAGAGAGGAGAGACAGAGAGAGAGAGAGAGAAGGGGGAGGAGCTTCAAGCAAGAGAAACGGCAGGGATAACGGCAAGTGCGGATTCTGCACAGGATCCCGCTGTGCTCAGCTCAGGCCAAGGCAGCTTTTGAGTCGAGTAAAAAGCCACCTCAAAAAACAAAGGCGGAGTTTGCACTGCACAGGCACCCGCCATGCTCGGGGCAAGGCAACCTGCAAAGCATCGCTTGCCTTTGCAGCACGTGCAACATGTGCTGCTAGCACCACCTGCCTTGGCAGCGACCGCAGCAGTGCAACATGTGCTAGCACCACCTGCCTTGGCAGCGACCGCAGCAGTGCAACATGTGGACTCATCACCCATGCTGGAACAGCACTGGTGCAAGTTGCGATTGCTGAGTTGGCACCAAGCAGCAATCACCCTGAGCATAAGTGAAGGAAAGGAGGTGACCGAATGAGGTGGCCGAATGAGGTGACTTTTGAGTCGACTCAAGAGTCACCTCGTGACAAAGGCATTCAACATGCCCCTACTCTTGCCCCTTGCAGCAATCCTATGCTCAGAACCCTTCAACACCAGCTGCCCAGAAGTTGCCCTTTCAAAGCCCTTTCAAAGCACCCTTGAGCATACCTTTGCAGGACCGGTTGGGTTGTCTGCAAGCAAGCACCCATTACTGGTCCTTCTCTCATTCAATTCAAGTACCCTCAAACGATCACATCACCCCCTTCAACATACCTTTCCCCTTCAACCTTTTACTATCCTCAAATGAACACCCTACTGAACGCACCTTTGCAGGAACAGCTGGGTCATGTGCAAGCACCCAGAACTGGTCCTCTTTCTTGATTTTGAGAATTCTCAAAAGCGACTCAGATTGGGTCACGTGCAAGCACCCAGAACGGTTCTGCAGCTGGGTCATGTGCAAGCACCCAGAACGGTTCTGCAGCTGGGTCATGTGCAAGCACCCAGAACGGTTCTGCAGCTGGGTCATCATGTGCAAGCACCCAGAACGGTTCTGCAGCTGGGTCATCATGTGCAAGCACCCAGAACTGGTCCTCTTTCTTGTGAGTTGGTTGTGAGAGTTCTCAACAACTGCCTGTTGCCTTTCCAAGCACCCTTGAGCATACCTTCGCAGGAACAGCTGGGTCAGGTGGGTTGGTTTAAGAGCTCTCATAACCAAACCTGTTGCCCCTTCAAAGCGCCACCCGTGAACACACCTTTGCAGGAACAGCTGGGTCATAAGCAAGCACCCAGAACTGGTCCTTCCTTTCTCCCTTTCAAGTACCATCAACCTCATCAAATGATCATCCCCCTTAAACATGCCTTTCCCCTTCAATTATCTTCAAATGAGCACCCTAGTGAACACACCTTTGCAGGAACAACCGGGTTGTCTGCAACCACCCAGAACTGGTCCTTGCCTATCCGAAACGGCTCATCAGACGGCTGAGATGACACCATCTCGTCTCCAGGAACGGCTGCGACTCGCCGAAAGATAACCGGAAATGAACTGCGTGCTGCTTTCGCCTTGGCAGTGGCTTCTGTGTTGGAACGTTCTGACTCGGAACCATCTGGGTTGGCTTTTTTAGTTGACTCAAAACTGGGTGCTGCTTTCGCCTTGGCAGTGGCTTCTGTGTTGGAATGATTTGAGTCAGAACTGGCTGGTTCAGCGCCCGCAGCAGCAGGAGATGCAGGAGAAGGAGAAGCAGGAGGAGCAGCAGCAGAAGAAGCAGGAGGAGCAGGAGGAGCAGGAGGAGCAGGAGGAGCAGGAGGAGCAGCTGCAGAAGCAGAGGCAGCGGGAGAAGCAGAAGCAGGAGAAGCAGCAGCGGGCGAAGCAGGAGAAGAAGAGGCAGAAGCAGACGCAGCAGAGACACGTGCTGGGTCGACGTGGAACCCAACAACGTCTCCAACGGAAACGGTGCTGCCATGCCAGGGGGAGAGCAAGGGGGGATTGGGAAAGGTTTATAAGAAAAGGGGGGTCTGAGTCAGCTCAAAAGAAACATGTTCTTGTTCGACTTGGTTTAGAACCCCACCATGGCACTGGCACGGGGGAGAGCAAGGGGGGGTGGAAAGGGCTTATAAGGAGGGTGGGCGTTGACAAGTTTTGAGTCGACTGGGAACCTCACCACGTCTTAAATGGAAACGGTACAATTGGAAATGGTTCACAGTTGTTGGCAGCGTCCTCTCTGTTTCTTTTGAGAGAACAGGTCGGCCGACGATAGAGTCAACAGCCAATCCACATTGCTGTGGCATGACAACTACCACATAAAGGGAGCACATATATTTTTGAGGCACCTCACAAATAAAGGGAGCAAGTCTTGAGACATTGCCACGACTAGACATGTGCATCGGACCGAGTCGAGTAAAACTCGACTCGGTCTGGCTCGAGCTCGAGTCGGGGAAAACTCGACCGAGCTTTTTTCTCAAGATGCTGGACTCGAGACTCGCCTAAATAGGGCTCGAGTTTTGAAAAAATCGACAGGCGTTTTTCTTACACTCGGTCGAGCCGAGTAAAACTCGACTCGGGGGGGGGGGGGGGGAGGAAGAGGGAGGGGGGGGTGGGGGGTTTTGCTGTGGAAACACCATACATTTTGGTACAAGGATATGTGTTGTATACCGCATGTAAGCACAACTTGGCCTGCCCCCACCTCCACACCCGCATGATTGCCATGGTGAGTTCCTCCTGTTCCACCTTTCCCGCTGTTTGGGTTCTTACTCACCCCTTGCTTAGATTTCGCCATAAAAAATAAACCAGATCTACCGTTAAATAGGTGCGATTCCGCCTCAGGAAACCCTAATCGGAAAACTGCACGTGTAAAAAACGCGACATTAACTAACTATAAACGTAGATCTAGGATTCCGTAAACCTAACTTAAGTTTAAGATGGAAAACCAGCCATGAGTTCGGCTGTCTAGGCTCAGGTTTCCACCTATGATAGGCTTAGGAAGAGGACTAACTGAAATCGCGATCTAAAAAGAACCCCAAAGTGAACATTTTACAATTTGTCCTTGCTGCCAATGTCGCGACCGAGTTTTTCGTAAACTCGCTCGAGCCCCAAAAGCTCGTCGAGTCTGCAGAAAACTCGATGTGGGGCCGAGCTTTCACCGAGTTTTTTTAAAACTCGACGGGTAAAACTCGACTCGACTCGGTCGAGTTTTTCCAGTGGTTTTGCGGACTCGACACTAGACCCGTGTCGAGTCCCCCGATCGAGTCGAGTCGAGAAACTCGACTCAATGCACATGTCTAGCCACGACTTCAAACAGGGAGTGGCACACTCAGTCACTGCCAAATGGGCGGCACACTCACTGCCAAACCGGCGGCGCACCACACTCACTCCAGAAGGGGCAGCACACTCACTCCAGAAGGGGCAGCACACTCACTCCAGAAGGGGCAGCACACTCACTCCAGAAGGGGCAGGACACTCACTCCAGAAGGGGCAGCACACTCACTCCAGAAGGGGCAGCACACTCACTCCAGAAGGGGCAGCACACTCACTCCAGAAGGGGCAGCACACTCACTCCAGAAGGGGCAGCACACTCACTCCAGAAGGGGCAGGACACTCACTCCAGAAGGGGCGGCACACTCACTCCAGAAGGGGCAGCACACTCACTCCAGAAGGGGCAGCACACTCACTCCAGAAGGGGCAGCACACTCACTCCAGAAGGGGCAGCACACTCACTCCAGAAGGGGCAGCACACTCACTCCAGAAGGGGCAGCACACTCACTCCAGAAGGGGCAGCACACTCACTCCAGAAGGGGCAGCACACTCACTCCAGAAGGGGCAGCACACTCACTCCAGAAGGGGCAGGACACTCACTCCAGAAGGGGCGGCACACTCACTCCAGAAGGGGCAGCACACTCACTCCAGAAGGGGCAGCACACTCACTCCAGAAGGGGCAGCACACTCACTCCAGAAGGGGCAGCACACTCACTCCAGAAGGGGCGGCACACTCACTCCAGAAGGGGCGGCACACTCACTCCAGAAGGGGCAGCACACTCACTCCAGAAGGGGCAGCACACTCACTCCAGAAGGGGCAGCACACTCACTCCAGAAGGGGCAGCACACTCACTCCAGAAGGGGCAGCACACTCACTCCAGAAGGGGCAGCACACTCACTCCAGAAGGGGCAGCACACTCACTCCAGAAGGGGCGGCACACTCACTCCAGAAGGGGCAGCACACTCACTCCAGAAGGGGCAGCACACTCACTCCAGAAGGGGCAGCACACTCACTCCAGAAGGGGCAGCACACTCACTCCAGAAGGGGCAGCACACTCACTCCAGAAGGGGCAGGACACTCACTCCAGAAGGGGCAGGACACTCACTCCAGAAGGGGCGGCACACTCACTCCAGAAGGGGCAGCACACTCACTCCAGAAGGGGCAGCACACTCACTCCAGAAGGGGCAGCACACTCACTCCAGAAGGGGCAGCACACTCACTCCAGAAGGGGCAGGACACTCACTCCAGAAGGGGCGGCACACTCACTCCAGAAGGGGCAGCACACTCACTCCAGAAGGGGCAGCACACTCACTCCAGAAGGGGCAGCACACTCACTCCAGAAGGGGCAGCACACTCACTCCAGAAGGGGCGGCACACTCACTCCAGAAGGGGCGGCACACTCACTCCAGAAGGGGCAGCACACTCACTCCAGAAGGGGCAGCACACTCACTCCAGAAGGGGCAGCACACTCACTCCAGAAGGGGCAGCACACTCACTCCAGAAGGGGCAGCACACTCACTCCAGAAGGGGCAGCACACTCACTCCAGAAGGGGCGGCACACTCACTCCAGAAGGGGCAGCACACTCACTCCAGAAGGGGCAGCACACTCACTCCAGAAGGGGCAGCACACTCACTCCAGAAGGGGCAGCACACTCACTCCAGAAGGGGCAGCACACTCACTCCAGAAGGGGCAGGACACTCACTCCAGAAGGGGCGGCACACTCACTCCAGAAGGGGCAGCACACTCACTCCAGAAGGGGCAGCACACTCACTCCAGAAGGGGCAGCACACTCACTCCAGAAGGGGCAGCACACTCACTCCAGAAGGGGCAGCACACTCACTCCAGAAGGGGCGGCACACTCACTCCAGAAGGGGCGGCACACTCACTCCAGAAGGGGCAGCACACTCACTCCAGAAGGGGCAGGACACTCACTCCAGAAGGGGCAGGACACTCACTCCAGAAGGGGCGGCACACTCACTCCAGAAGGGGCAGCACACTCACTCCAGAAGGGGCAGCACACTCACTCCAGAAGGGGCAGGACACTCACTCCAGAAGGGGCAGGACACTCACTCCAGAAGGGGCGGCACACTCACTCCAGAAGGGGCAGCACACTCACTCCAGAAGGGGCAGCACACTCACTCCAGAAGGGGCAGCACACTCACTCCAGAAGGGGCAGCACACTCACTCCAGAAGGGGCAGGACACTCACTCCAGAAGGGGCGGCACACTCACTCCAGAAGGGGCAGCACACTCACTCCAGAAGGGGCAGCACACTCACTCCAGAAGGGGCAGCACACTCACTCCAGAAGGGGCAGCACACTCACTCCAGAAGGGGCGGCACACTCACTCCAGAAGGGGCGGCACACTCACTCCAGAAGGGGCAGCACACTCACTCCAGAAGGGGCAGCACACTCACTCCAGAAGGGGCAGCACACTCACTCCAGAAGGGGCAGCACACTCACTCCAGAAGGGGCAGCACACTCACTCCAGAAGGGGCAGCACACTCACTCCAGAAGGGGCGGCACACTCACTCCAGAAGGGGCAGCACACTCACTCCAGAAGGGGCAGCACACTCACTCCAGAAGGGGCAGCACACTCACTCCAGAAGGGGCAGCACACTCACTCCAGAAGGGGCAGCACACTCACTCCAGAAGGGGCAGGACACTCACTCCAGAAGGGGCGGCACACTCACTCCAGAAGGGGCAGCACACTCACTCCAGAAGGGGCAGCACACTCACTCCAGAAGGGGCAGCACACTCACTCCAGAAGGGGCAGCACACTCACTCCAGAAGGGGCAGCACACTCACTCCAGAAGGGGCGGCACACTCACTCCAGAAGGGGCGGCACACTCACTCCAGAAGGGGCAGCACACTCACTCCAGAAGGGGCAGCACACTCACTCCAGAAGGGGCAGCACACTCACTCCAGAAGGGGCAGCACACTCACTCCAGAAGGGGCAGGACACTCACTCCAGAAGGGGCGGCACACTCACTCCAGAAGGGGCAGCACACTCACTCCAGAAGGGGCAGCACACTCACTCCAGAAGGGGCAGCACACTCACTCCAGAAGGGGCAGCACACTCACTCCAGAAGGGGCGGCACACTCACTCCAGAAGGGGCGGCACACTCACTCCAGAAGGGGCAGCACACTCACTCCAGAAGGGGCAGCACACTCACTCCAGAAGGGGCAGCACACTCACTCCAGAAGGGGCAGCACACTCACTCCAGAAGGGGCAGCACACTCACTCCAGAAGGGGCAGCACACTCACTCCAGAAGGGGCAGCACACTCACTCCAGAAGGGGCAGCACACTCACTCCAGAAGGGGCAGCACACTCACTCCAGAAGGGGCAGCACACTCACTCCAGAAGGGGCGGCACACTCACTCCAGAAGGGGCGGCACACTCACTCCAGAAGGGGCAGCACACTCACTCCAGAAGGGGCGGCACACTCACTCCAGAAGGGGCAGCACACTCACTCCAGAAGGGGCAGCACACTCACTCCAGAAGGGGCGGCACACTCACTCCAGAAGGGGCAGCACACTCACTCCAGAAGGGGCGGCACACTCACTCCAGAAGGGGCAGCACACTCACTCCAGAAGGGGCAGCACACTCACTCCAGAAGGGGCAGCACACTCACTCCAGAAGGGGCAGCACACTCACTCCAGAAGGGGCAGCACACTCACTCCAGAAGGGGCAGCACACTCACTCCAGAAGGGGCAGCACACTCACTCCAGAAGGGGCAGCACACTCACTCCAGAAGGGGCGGCACACTCACTCCAGAAGGGGCAGCACACTCACTTTAGAAGGGGCGGCACACTCACTCCAGAAGGGGCAGCACACTCACTCCAGAAGGGGCAGCACACTCACTCCAGAAGGGGCGGCACACTCACTCCAGAAGGGGCAGCACACTCACTCCAGAAGGGGCGGCACACTCACTCCAGAAGGGGCAGCACACTCACTCCAGAAGGGGCAGCACACTCACTCCAGAAGGGGCGGCACACTCACTCCAGAAGGGGCGGCACACTCACTCCAGAAGGGGCAGCACACTCACTCCAGAAGGGGCAGCACACTCACTCCAGAAGGGGCGGCACACTCACTCCAGAAGGGGCAGCACACTCACTCCAGAA